AACAACAACTGAAGGCAAAGAATTCCAACCCTTCTTTCTCGAAATATTAAACGAAAGACCATTGCGCTTTCATTTGATAAGTTTGCATGAAAAGGTCCCAAAAGGATGATGTATTTCACACCGAGAGGTTTAAAAGTTGGCATCACTTCGTCAGCTGTCTAAAAACTATTTTAAAAAATCCAGATCCAGTGTTTTCCCCAGGATCTTGGGAAGACCAGGGGGCATGCTGACAAAATCCTAATCTATTCAAGATCTTGTTGCTCAGTCTATTCCGCAGTCATTTTTGGACAACCTTCCACGCACGTGGGAATTTAGTTTTAGTATTTCATGTAATATCCCTTGAAGTGTCCCTAAGTTTATGGCTAACCGTACCGTTCAACGAAACGAGTGGACGATATTGCGACAGGTTTCATGGAAGGGTAAATGAACTAAACCCTTATCAATGTGGGAGAAAAAGCAATGAAAAAACACTAGGCAAAGTTTCAGTACCTTTACTGAGTGTTTTTTCGTTACTTATGGACAGGATCCCAGTTCCAGATGTTTAACTGCATAAGGTTTCTTCAGTTTTAAGCGAGACGGCCCGCCTGGCCTGAAATAACTGGGGAGAACACTGAAATCAATGGTGTTTTACCGAATCTCGATTGATCTTGATTTGAGTGACAGTGTAAAGCCTATGTTCGTGCTTTCTTCCTGAAATGATAGGCCTTTTGCATTACTGAGTTGATCACATGATCAACTTTCTGTAAACATGAAAACAATTCGCTTTTGAAAAATTTTGTTACCAGGAACAGAAAGAGCATATTACAATTAGGTAACCTGTCAATTTTCAGCCGTGTATCTGAAAAGTAGCGATCGCAACGGCCGCCGAAAATTAGAAGGATTTGTATGGGAAAAACAACTCCTGCCGCCCTTTACGCTTAACTGGTTTTCCATACAAACCCTTGTAAATTAGGAAATTTTCTTAAGCTGTCGTAAAATATTTCCTTAAGCATTATGCAGCTCAAATCTCCTTTTTTTCATAGATAACAGGCAATTTGAGCCCTAAAATGCATAAGGGAAAGATTTAACGACAGTCGAAATTTACAAGGATTTCTACGGAAAACCACTCGAGCCGTGACTGGGTGGCAAGAGTTGTGTTTCTCATACAAATCCTTCTAATTTTCTGCGGCCTTTGCAATCGCTCCTATTGAGTTATACGAATGAAAATTCACAGGTTACTTAATTTTAATATGCTCTTTCAGTTCCTGCTAACAAAGCTTTCATGTTTACAGAAAGTTGATCACGTGACTAACTATTGCAAAAGGCCTATTGATAGCCAAATAAGGCGTGTCAAAAAGATAGCAACGCCATCGTTGAGAATTTAATTTTTTTTGTGATATATGTGGCCAAATATAACCTGAGTCATATCGCCGGACAAAATGTTCACACTTTTTATATTCTCTTTACATATTTTGGGGCCTTTTTTGATGATTTTACACGTTTTCTTTTTAGTTAATTCAAATAATAATATATTTTTAAAAAGTTTTCAAATTCAAAATAGCAAAACAAAGCACTTTCCTGTCAAAGTTAAATTTTAAGTCATCAAGGTGAGATTTGATTAAATATCTTTTATTTAATTTCAACAGTTTTCCGTTAGCTGTGGCTAATAGCAAAGCTTAAGATGACAACTGAACTAATAAATGTTACAGAAAATTCGTTTTAAGCGATTTGCAACAGCTGAAAGCATATGAGCAGTGTAATATATTCTGAAAGCTCTCTTTCTAAGATAAACAAATATGCCTTGTCTTGACACGGCAATGCAAATACCTATATTTTCAAAAGCTGCTTTGAAAGCTTTGTCTGAACCGATCATTTTGAAATTGACCGGAAAGAGCGAACAATGATAGATATTATTTCTATATCAAATCGCATGGTATTGAGAGAAGCAGGATTAGCTTGTAAGTGGTGATTAGGTTTTCGAAAGAGATGAAAAATTAGCCCAGAAAGGTATCTACACAGCTACCTTTTCGGCAACTCAAACTTTTCCTACTCAATCTCCGTCATTTGAGAGTCGTAAAAGAGTAAAAAAATCAGTGTTTTCGGGCCCCTGAAGTAAAACCTGCTACTGAAGAGCTCAATAATCAATCACCTTTCGTAGCGAGAGTGAAAATGACTACAACGCCTGCGAGAAATGGCTTCATGCTTGATCATCGGTAAGTTAAAAATTAGGTTTTGTTCGCAGTATTTTTTGCATATATATTAAAACAATGGGAAAATATACTTTATTGGCCTTCTTAAGAATCACTAGCATGGCTCATTAATTGGTCAGAAAACTGACTGTTTGTTTCTCGCTTAAAGAACAAAAGGATATAGAAATTGTATTGATAAAAGTTTATTTTGTTACGGCTACAAAGACACTGCAGAAAATAGAGGACGAAGATCAGGAAAAGATCAAACCCAGAGTCGTAACGTTAATGTGTAAACGTAATGAAGCCATATAAATTCGACAGCAGCAAGAATTCATGTGGCCTGATTGTCAACGTTTTATGATAGCTTCTAGTTTTCCAAAGGGCATCTACTGTCAAGTGTAATATTGGAGAGATTAATGAAGGTAAATTGACAGTTTCATGGTTTCATGGCTATAAGGTTTGTGAGGAAGATGCAAAGACAAATGAGTGTAATGTTAGCGACACCTTCGTACTTCTGTACGACTTGAACTGACTTGTTGTATTTTAAGTTGTGAAGAATCGACTCTCTCTTCTTGTATAATTCCGCTGATTATTTTTTTCTGATTAGCGCAAAATTTTTCTTGCCCGGAAAGTTTTTTTTGGAAAGTTATTAGCAAAAAGTATAAGACTGCAAACCGAATAGATATTATGGCAACACTCATGGGACAACCGAAAAGCTTTCTTGCGGAGAAAAGAGAAAACTTAAACGACTATAAGCAATTTCTTCTATGTCCCCCTTGAGGTTAGAATGATACAGCCCTTATGCTGAACAACCGCCTTCAATATGAACTTTAAACTTTTCAAGACACAGCAGTAAAAAAGAAATAATAGTCACAATTTTTTTAGAATTTAGATGGATTACGTAATTTTTTTATCATTTTTTTCTGTTTGTAAACTAAAGCTGTTATAGATAGTATAGTTCTGTTGTTCTTGGAAGTTTAGCATTAAGGTGGAATCGATGCGTAGCCATTTCACGGAGAGAGTATTTTGTACATGGAGTGAATAATATTACCTTATCGCCGCCTGGGTCATTTTCATTTGCGGATATTTGGCTGAAATGTTTGTTTTTCCCTCCGTTTTTAATTTTCCTTTTTAGCAGCACTATCAAAACTGTCTCCTTTGTTTAAAACGGATATAGTTAAAAGAAAATTTAACAGTTGAGGTGAGGCTATATTTTTTTTCGCTTTAAATTAAAAAGAGCCCCTGGCTTTAAATTATGTTTGGAACGTTTTGAAATCAAATCATGAAAAAAAAAAGAACATTCTATTTATTTTGATCGAGACTCTTAGTGACTATAAAGACAACGAAACTAGGTTTTCATATAAGATGTAAATGAATATAATATATTCAAAATTTAGATTCGCGAACAAGCATTTATATTAATCGTCATCAAAATTAGCCTAAGTATCCTTGGCCTGTTAAGCTTTTTCTTTTTCGTTAATTATCGCTGTTTTTATTAAAGTGAATACTCTGATTAGAATTTCGAAGAAGCACAGGGGAAATGAAATTTGATCGCAAGATATCATGGTTGTTGATACAGCCGTGAGTGAGGTGAGAGGGTTACCATGCCAACCTAACAAACATTATCACGTCGAGTTGTTAAGTAATCAAATTAATTAAATAGAAGAGCTCTTAAGGAAACCTCAAAAGCAACTGACCAAAGGTGAAGGATAAAATTTAACAGGAATAGGGATTTCTGAACTTCTGTATTGTTTTTCACCACATAACTGGTAAGGACGTCGCAAAGTGAACTCTCGCTGTAAACACGCAGATTGTATAGAAGTATTTTACTCAAACTCTTGAACTTTCTATGCAACTGCTGGTAGCAAGAGAGAATTGATTTATTCTCTCTTGCTCAGTGGTAGTCGTTTCACAGCCCCCTCTTTTCCCGTAAGACCTTCGGGATCGAGATCCTATATCCTACGCCTGGAAGAAGTCCCTTATGGGTGGCCGTCTTGGTTTCAAATGTACCCAGTCTAGCGTGGGGATGAGCATCAAATCTAGAAGCGGGGGATGGTTTGGGAAGAGGCACGGGGGCCAAAGAAAAATACTCCTTCCCCCAACCGCTATAAACCCTTGGTCTGCCCCTAGGGCTTTCCACAGGTTGCTCGAGATTTTCCAAAAGGTTTCTCTTGATTTGTCCAAAAGTTGCTCAACAGTTGGTCTGATGCTAAAATATGCAAATTGTACAGCAAAAGTAAGATTTCTAAGCATTTTGTGCATTTTGCGATTTAACCAGCGTTGCTAAGTAACTTTTTCCTCAATTAAAACGAAAAAATGTAACGAGTAAATAAAATTGTTGAATGATCTTCTTCACCCGAGACACTCAAGTCAATCCAGTGTGACTCTTCGTCAACCATTTTGAATTTTCTCTAAAAACTGCTGACCTAGCAGCCGGCTACTTTTATCTTGCGCCTACGATCTGCCCCAGGGGGGAATTCATAAATTGTCTACTAAAACATTGTGAAATATGGGAAAAAGGCCAATTTAAGCACTAAAAGCTTCTCCGATATCTCAGAATTAGAAGATAACTAGAGAAATTGCTCAGAATGCAAAAAGTTGCTCGAAACTGAAAACGTTCCTCGAAATGCGAGAAGCTGCCAAAAAAATAACCGAGCAACTTGTGGAAAGCCTTACCCGCCCCTTCCGTCCATTTAAACTACGTGAGCTCCCTGTAAAAGCCAGTCTTACATTATACGAATGTGAACAGTTTACTCTGCCGGGGTCGTTCGACAAAACAGCGATCGACTCTCTAAAATATGATCACTCATCCCATTTTACATGTAAGCTTGAATGCATGGCCCATTGCTGCCTTCAAATTATTTACCCTCGCTTTTGTTCGCTCACAGCCCCATGATTCCTTCATCTGTTGGCGGAAGCTCCAGTCCCCCGCAACCGGTCGCGTGGTACATTCAGTTAACTTACATCATCATCATCATCGCCTTGGCATTTATTGGCAACATCCTCATTTTCGTGGTGATTTGCATCAAACGACGCCTTCACAAAATCGACAACATGTTCATCGCCAATCTAGCCGTCAGTGACTTCCTTTTTACATTGATCGAGACTTCATCGAACACGACCAGGGAGATAAAACGAAACTGGCGCCCACCTCACGACGTGGCTTGCTACGTAATAATAGCTTCAAGTGTCCTTTGCGCGTCAGCTTCTGTTTTTACTCAAACAGCGGTCGCTGTTAATCGATATCTCGCCGTAACGCGACCGTTGCAATACCCGAACCTTGTGAATAGAAAAAGGGTGTTCATATCCATCGCTTTTATTTGGATTTTTGCAATTTCTTTAGCATCACCGCCTTTGATATGGAGGCCGCTGGCAGTTATTTGCGGGGAGGAAGAATCTTACGTCGAACACATCACTTACGAGATCATTTACATGACCGCCGAGTGGATAGTGATTTTTGTAATCCCATTCTCGATCATGTCTTTTATTTACTTCCGAATATACCGCATTGCCCGAAACCACGCTCAGCGAGTGCGGCCAGGTATATACGAAGAATCTACGACAACCACTCAAGGAAGTGCGAATAATTCTTCGTGCAGGTGTCGTCATATCACGAACCTTAACAGAGAGTTCAAAGCTGCTAAGATGCTTGTAACAATATCTGGCGCTTTCTTGATGTCTTGGTGCCCATTTTTTGTTACATTAACTTTGTGGAAGTTTCAGGACCACGTACAGATTTATCCTAGAGTATTTACAGGATTTCTGTACTTAGTTTATACTTTACCAGCCATTAATCCTGTGATTTATGCATACTGGTGCCGGGATATACGAAATACAGTGAAAAAGCTTTTAACTTGTCGAAAATGAGAAATTTAAGATTGAATGTCAAATACTCTTTTTTCACTACCAGTCAGATTCCGTATGGTCACTTTAATTTGACCTCCGTAATGCTACAAGAACGTAAGAATTTTAATATCATTTAAACTACTGACAAAGTTGAATCGTTAGGCCGCTAATAAATCTATGGGAAAAACAGAATATAAATAAACGATCCTCTGTAGTGTTTTTATAAGCTCAGTTACCCTGTTCCAGGTGTTCAAGATATTGGGGATTGGGGATTGCATGCAGTGGAGAGCGAAACAAAAAAAGACAGGGAGGAATTTCCTGCTACTCCACCCATCTGAATGCCTGTGATCCTTCATTTATTCACTTAAAGATGTTTCATTTACGTCACTAATCAGTGCGGATCTAGGGAAAGGGCCAGCCCCCCCTTATTTTTAGACCAAACTGAGGCCCGAAGCCCCCCCCCCCCCCCCCCCCCGCCTTATCTGAATATCTGGATCCGCCATTGCTAATGTATAGTATTCATTATTAATATCCGGTCATTATCGTCATGATCGTTATTTGTCATTATCGGTCAAGTCGTTATTTACAGGTCTCATCGTTATCTTCGTGTTCGTCTATATCGTGATCGTTATAATCATTGCTACAATGAATGTAACTTAGATAGTGGCTTCTCAAAGTGTAATTATCACATACAAGAAACGTTAGGGTGGAATAATTGGAAAAGCAATTAATAAATAAATGAAAACACGAGTATTTTTCTCTCGTTGATACCGTTCTTATGGCTTGTTTGTTGTTTTTTGTTTTTAACAATTTTTATATACGCACACAGGGTGAATTTTGAACGAGATAGTCTCTTGAGTAACATTACGCTTAGCAAACAACCAATGAAAAAGCTAAAAGGCTGCATGGGAATATTTGCTCCAATATCAACACATTTTCTCTCGGTAATCGTTTACTTTATTCTTTTAATATTTGATTATACAGAGAAATTATAAGGAAAAAATCATTGCTTGTAGCTAGGGCTTGAAAGACTCAAAAAGGGAATAGTTCATTTATTCAAAGGGGATACTGAAAAAAGAAAACGAGCGAAAGCTGGTGGAAACCATTTGGTAGGCGAATGTTCATAAAACCCAATTCGAGCCAATTTTTCACGACCCACAGCTTATAGCAATCTTAATTTCAACAAAAGAGAGAGAATTATCTACTGCGATTGCTGCTACATTGCCCCTCCTGGCATGCTTGACATCGACTGGAATCATGTGACCATCTTGGCCTGCCGTGCCTCCTGTTATTATCAATGTCTGGTTGTGGAAAGTCATAAAAAGCCTGCAACGCAATGAATATCAATTAGCGTCAAATCTTACAATATAGCCTAGTAATAGGCCACTTCCGAGTTCCAAAAACCCTCACTTTCAAAATGAGATCAGGTGCACAACCTTTCTTGTGAAAATGAGTTCTATTTGCATGGGAATGAAAAATGTTTTCCATATCAAAGGCTTAGCACCTACCCTTGTTTTGAAACAGAGGCCCCGGGGGAACTTGGAAATGGCCTATTCCAAACTGTTACAAAGGAGATTATCTGGCATCAAATCAAATAGTGGCTACTGACTTTGGGTTGTTTTATGTGCACTTCAGATTAGGAAACACATTACCGCGACATTACCGATAGTTAACAACTGCAGCTTTCTCCAAGACAGCCCTGGATTCTGGATTCCTTGTCAATGGAACTTGGATTCCGAATTCTAATCTTAAACAGGATTCCAGATTCATTGATCTGAATTCCCAGGATTCCGGATTCCACGAGCAGGAATTTGCCGCATTCCGGAATCCCGATTACCTTACATTGGGCGATCTTTGTTTTATATCTTGTTCCCTGTTTTAGACTTGACCGAGCATGTAGAACGCGTTCTTATCATTTTGAACCAGCTGACGGTTAGAAACACTTGTTTTCGTCTTTTGATTTTTGCCGGCTTTCATATCAGACCCCTCTAGTAACTACAGCCAACGATCCAAATATTTTTACGACTTTAACTCACAAGTAATTAAAAACATCACATGACCTAAGCATGCGCACATCCCTATCAGAGGCCCAGGCGGTGATGATGTGCCCTTTCATGAATAATCATAAGTGGGCAACGAGTACAGGGGCGGATCCAGGATTTTTCTTAGGAGGGGGGGGGGAACCACTAAGGAATGTCTTATTTGACTAGTGACGTGACGTATCAAACTACTATTTTTTTACGGCGTTTAACATAAATTCTTCAACCTCGTCTCATGTTTTACTTAAACACCAATAAACCACAAAGTTTTTTTTTGCAGAATACCAGTTGCAATGTATTAGAAAGCCACAAGTCATGTCAGGGGGTGTGCATCCGCCGTTCCCCTAGATCCGTTCCTGGAGCAGGACCTAAAAGTGGCCGCTAGTTTATCTCGTAAGGTCCTGCACGTGCTGGCTAAACAGAGGTGATTGGAGCACGTTCTTCTAGCTTTCATTTGGTCCTGATTTAGTTTTAACTTGATAGCCAAAAAGTTGACTTCGTGGAGTACTTCCTGAGTATCTCCTGGGTTGTTCAACAACGTTTAATAAGGCAAAACGGTTTGGTATCGCTAGTAACCCTAATGATTTTGACCCAGCTTTTTAACGTCGAGTAAGTATCTAATCTTACGAGCAACCACAAAATGTAACAGCTTATAAATAAGACAATATATAAACTATCAGCAAGTCCACAGCGACAAACGAATGAGTGGTGCCGGATCTCCCAGTTGTAGACCTGGATCAGTACAATAACAACTTGTAGAAAAATATGAAACGGCAAACTGATCCTTACGGCAAGGAGAAGAAGAAGTAAACAAAAGAATAAAACAAAAAATAAATATTTAAACAAATTTGCCCAATATTTCGGTTTGAAAACAAACCTTCTTCAGGGGCTAAAAGAAAAATGAAGATAAACTAAAAGTTCGTTACAAATAAGAGTTTGAAAATATAGCATTAAAAACAATGGATTGTTATTGGTGTAGGAGACTAGGTAGTATCGTATATCAGCGAGCTTCATTTTCTCCTCTAGGAATAAATAGACGTTATGAAGCGTCAAGTTGTAAATAACATGCAGGCCACCAACCTCTCCTATTTTCTTATGCACATTATTCAGAACTTTCTCCACTTCCTCTCCGTACCATTCTGGACTTTTAAACTCTTCATTGTCACATTTCTTGCACTTCTGACCGTACAGCCTAAACCTTAAGGAATCTAAAGGATCGATTGAAAGTTTGATAGTAAACATATTTATTAGTACGTTCTCGTTTTGGTAAACTTGTACCAGATTCAACTCACTGCCGGTGCACTCAAATAAGAACTGAGGCCCCACTGGAGAGAAAGCCAGGTTAACGTTAGCCCAGCTAGGAGATGGTCACCCTTCCAAGCAATTCAACTTTTTGTTTCTCATGTAAATGTGCTTTTAATGGTTTGCCAAGTTTCATAAGAAAATGTAGGAAACGTTGGCTCGCCCAGCCACACTGTAGCTCGGGTAGGCGAGTGACGCCTTCTACCTTCGACACGTTTTCTCCATATAAACGCCGGGGACCTAAGATAAGTTTTCAGTGGGTGTAGGGATGGCTGAAGAAATCGCAATATAATAAGGCCTTGTTAAAGCTTGTCTGTCTGACGTGGCCTTGAAACAGCGACATCAGCTGAAAGGGCGACAAACGACACCGAGATGGACTGAAACTGCGACAGGGACGAAGAAAAGTACAAATCTAATAGTTAAACACCAACAGCGACATGGCTTTCTCTTCGAGACGCTAAACAACAGGTTTTAAAATTAACTAGGAAAGAATCAAGAGAAAATATATCAACTGTAGATACATACAAACTTTTCCGTTCTCGCAGCGGCTCGCTCCTGTTTCTGAATCCTTGCTGTCGTCTTGATCTTTTTCCTCCTTTCCTTCTGGCTTGTCGCTTATTTTATTGAACCAGAATATAACAACTCCTCTCATTGATGTCCAGGAATTGCCGCAGGATTTGCAGAGGAACTTTACCTTGGCGCTGTCCTTAAAGCTTCGCCATCCCTGGGGCATGGGCGCGTCAGTTGGCTCCAGTGTCCACTTGTCTGGACTAAAGCCTTTGAAGATTTGATCAAACGTCTCGTGCCATTGCTTTGACATCGGTTTTAAATCAGGAACGGCGTCCTTCAATAGAGATCCCATTTTTCTCGCTTTCAAATATTGAACAACAAGTTAGTACAAGAAGATGGACGTAAATCTCTTTGACGCCTACTGCAGTTAAAAAAAAAAACAAGAACAACCAAAACAAAAACAACACGCCTAGTTTACCAAAGGTCGGTTCAAATATCCGTTGCGATGGATCGGAACGGGCACTCTTCGAACTTATGTATTTTCTACACCTTCTCTACACCAGAGCTTTAGATATTACTGCTGTGCATGCGAAAAAGAAAACAGCTCTGGAGTCAGGATGTCACCCATTCTTGTCCCCAGAGCCTATCGTTTTTTTTGGTAACGTGGTAAATAAAGCCGAGTGGGTGGGTCTGGGCACGAGAATGGGATGTCATCCTGCTGAAATCCCTCTCCTCCGCCTGTGCATGGCTATTGACCAGCACCCTTCCAAACCTCTTTTTTCATTGGTCCCTATAACCTGCACTACCTATTGTTTTCAAGGATAGGGGCATCGTTATGTCACCATCCCTATTGTTATCCCAGCCAATCACAAACCGTGTTTGGAATCGGTACAGGTCGCCCGTGCATGACGACTCCTCTGTTACTTTAATTTGTATGTTAATCTTTGATATCACTATGAGATTCTTGGAAACTATTCACCCTCATTTCTCCGGACCCAACATTTTTCCCTAAGTGAAAAGTTGGAGTTAATTTGTATGTTAATCTTTGATCACTATGAGATTCTTGGAAATTTTTCACCCTCATTTCCCCGGACCCAACATTTTTCTTTAAGTGAGAAGTTGGTGTTAACGTGATCGACATGCCTCCCGATCCTGAGAGTCGCTCTCGCGTGATAGATTATTTCCTGTTTGCACTTTCGTTGACTCTTGAGTGTCTTGTGAGACAACTATTGAATTGTAACACGAGTGAAAGAAATGACACTGCTCCGTGAAGAATCCCACTAGCCTGCTCTCAACAGTCAAAGTCACCTGTGTTTCATTCATATTCGATACTTAAAAAGCTCTTCAGCCTAGTTTTTTACTCCATTGACTGCATTGTGGAGTCTCCACTGAGGTTTATGGCCTCATTGTCACTTTATTCAAGTTCGTATAAAACTTGTAAGCGAAAATGATACAAGCACGATGCTAAGAAAACTGTACGTACATTTCCTGAATTTAAATAGCTAAAATTTAAACAAACAGGTGTTTTCTAACAGAAATGTGATCTTCACTTCTTTGTTCTTGGCGTGTAGACTAATGACTTAAAGATTTACATTGAATTAAAACAGTAAATAATGACAATAAAATTAACAACTACTTAGTAATACCAGAGACATTTCGTTCTCTTTCCAATAAAAATCGATAGAGGCTTTAAATTTAAATGGTTTCCACGAAATTTTGTTGCTTACCAAGTTCGTCTGTAGCCGTCGATTTCTCCAGTTCACCCGGAAGCCGACAAACCGCAAGCCCTGCCGTAAGCTTTGTACTCAAATGTATCTGAGAATTTTTAACAGCTAAAAGGCTCAGACAATTTTTTTGTGGCCGAACTTTAACCTTCAACTAAATCTATACTGTGTTTTGACAGTTATAAACACTTATGAAGTATCATTTACTATCTCGTTAGATTTATGATTCGAAAACAGCAGTTTTCTCGGAAGGCAGTCGTTTCCGCATCGTTTCCGAGAAGTGATCGTACCTATTCACAATTCGCCTCTGACTGGCAGTTTCGAGGAAAGCGGCTGTTTCCCACCGTTCTTCAAGAACTGATAAACGCACTGGTCTGCTCAAGTTTACAACGGTTCCCCGAAGACAGCCATTTTGTCCATTTCCGTCGAGTTTCCGAGAATCCTTGTTGTCCCCAGTCCCCCGCGCGCTTGGCCTGGGTAACCTGTTGCCCGTTTCGGTGAACTAGTCACATATGGAATCAAAACAATAGTAATTTCTTATTGCACCCATGACACTAAGATCGGTCAATTGTACTGTCAAAGCAATCAATGTCAAACATAGCTCCTCTGCTATCTGTATAGCCTGAGTAAACAGCCAACTAGTCTCGCCTGTGCCTTTATTTTGCCTCTGAGTGTTGCGCAATACTCTCCAATATTTGCCTCACTGTAAAATCTACGAAGGGTTCCTCACAAAATCGGAATTTCCGTCCAATCAGGATGCGACCCATAGTGAGTAATATTTAGTGTCATCGTAAACTATGTTCCCCTACGATCGCAAAATTCATGCTCTTTCAGTTGGTAGCCCCCAAAATGAACATTGAGCAAATAGCTGAATGAATGTAAGTGGTGCGCTGCTCAGTACTGTAGGAATTTCGCTGTCGGTTCGGACCGACCGAGCAAAACCCGAACAGTGTTCCTTAAACAACGATAGAACACATCAAAAATAGTAAGGCTAGCGAGTTGCGGCAATAAATTGCGAGGTTAGCCATACTCTACGAACAAGAAAATTTATTCAATTCAATTAGAACCGAGCCATTTTGGTCTGTCTTCTCAACGACCCGAGTCAGGAGGCACTCCAGTGGGTAAAAGACAGTCTGAAGAGTCAAGTATCTTCGCCGCAGGTGATTTTCGCCTTCTCTTTGTTCAGACTGTATTTTTATTATTCATTTTTAAGCTTCAAAGGAGCGGTAAGCACGTGATTGCAGAGAGCCCCCTGAATTTGCATACTAAGATCCGACACCTGTCCACCCTGTTGCTCATGTATAATTAAAGCCAACATCTACCAAGAAAACAAAGATTTGCCAAAGATGAATACATTAGGGCAGTTTAAAAGAGAACTGAGCCAAAACAAACAAAGCAAGTTAGTCAAACCGGTGTAGAATTTACTTGACCTTTCCGTGCCTTGACTGTTTATATTTTGGACCAAATTGAAAAACGCTAATATTCTTGCCTTAACCCTTTCACTGCCAAATTTAACCGATAGTAAATTTCGACCAAATTTCCAAATTTCATGAAAAACAAATAGCACCATGTGTAAGTACAGGCATAGGGCTTTCATTCGAAGGCCTAGGAGACTAGCTCTATAGGTGCTGAATTCTGTATTTATATGGAGCACATCTTTCAATCACTTGAATCTAGCTGAGAGCAGCCGTTACGAAATACAGTCAGAGATAACATACCGCGCGTTACCCTGGGTACCAGTCAGGTTTTATCCCGCCGTACCCGAGAAAGACTTCCAGTGCGTAGCTGGACTCTATTACAAAATCCACTGCCATTCGGTTTGCCCACACTGCAAACATTTAGACACTTTTGAATTTTTATGCGTGGTTCAAGTTAAACGCAGCATAGCACTACACAACAGAAAATTAAAAAGCAGAGGGATGAATTTGATTTAGCTTGCACCTAGTTGCAGGAAAGAGGTAGCTAACCGTTTCGGCCGCATTTTCATTGATCAAAACAGGAGCCTTGAAAGTAAGCAGAGCACCTTAAGTAAGCAAAGTATCTCAAGCAAGCAAAGCACCTCAAGTAAGCAAAGCACCTGATGCAAGCAAAGCATCCCAAGTAAGCAAAGCATTGCAAGTAAGCAAAGTATCGCAAGCAAGCAAAGCACCCCAAGTAAGCAAAGCATCACAAGCAAGGATGCTGGCAATTTGTATGGACAACTATATGATGGCTTGACATGAAGTACTTACCCCCAAAGCTCCTCCAAAAATATTCTACCTGCTAAGGGTTTTAGGGTCCCAGCGATACATTCCCACCCCAAATTTTCTAAGTTACCCCGCCTCGGGCTCGAGATGCTTTGCTTACTTAAGGTGCTTCCGCGAAACAACAAAAAAATAGAACAAACGACAAAACAAATAAGAACATATGCCATAATTCCCTAGCAGCGCAGATTGATGAAAGATGTTCCCGTTGCCGCACCGTTGTAGTTGCTCAAGCAGCTCAGCTCAACTTAAGATCCGTGTCATATAATCTGAAAATCTGCTGAAGTCATTTCCGATCAGTGTGAGCTTCCTTTTCATTCTCTCCAGTGAGAGTTCATTTTCTTTTTCCATCTAGAACACCCTTTTTAACTATCCATAGAAAGCTAATCCATGTCGAAGAGCGACGAAGTCGCAAGTGGCCGGCCAGACGGTCATTTTAGTTAAAAACGAAATAATCAAGTATTTTTTTTTATTTTTCGAGAGTCCCAAATATCCCTTTTTCTAATCCTTTGAAAGTATTCTATCTTCATTTAGAATAACCAAGCAATCAGCAAAACAAGAATGGCTTCGCAGATGAGCTGTTGTGGTTTCTTGAGCATAGAGTAGAGTCGACGCTGTTTCGACACTTAGAAAACCCGTTTTCAGACCAGACCAGACCAGACCAAATCCATACCCGTTTTCAGACCTGATCTTTAGGCAGAAATTATGTCATCATCTCTTAAATTAGAGCGCAAACAAAAGAAATTCTTCAAATCCATTTCGAATTCGCGTATTTCTCTTTCTTTCTTACTGATTTGCAGTTGAAACGATAATTACGTTCATGCACTCCTGCAACTCCCCCGAAAACTGTACTCGATTCTAGACCAAAATGGGCAAAATCTATACCCGTTTTCAGACCAAAAAATGCGCAAAAAGAAACCATACCCTTTGGAGCGACACATACCAAAACTGAACTATGTGGCTTATACAAGGGACGGTACCCCCCGGGATTTACATGAAGTTATTTATTGTCAGTATCATCTAACTATCATCCTGCAATTTGCTTTGGTATGTTAACTACTTGTCCCCTAGTAGCAATAAAAACGATACTTTGGAAACGCATTCCCTTTCCAAGGAATTTTTTCCAGCTTTACCTTTATCTGTGGCGTTGGCCGATACTTAACTATTTCACAATGGCAGAATCACAGAACTCATGGAAATATAACTATCTTTATTACGTCATCCTCAAAATTAAAGTTAGGGTTGGTATGAAAAAGTTACACTGACCCTTTGTTGTGACTGAAAAACAAAGCTATTTGTTGCCAGCAGGTCAAACTGTAAAAAAGACGCGCGTGAATGAAGTAATGCAATGGTAAGATGAATTCAATAAGAAGTAAATAGCTTCGTGTGAATGAGAAAGAGGGAATGTTCGGTAACAAGGATGTAAAAATAAAGGATAAAAAAGACAATGAACTGAATGTATAGACATTTGTTTTCCTATCTTTGGTGGGGAAACAAAAACTAGATTTTAGGCTAATTTAAAGTAAACGTTCAGGCGTTGGTTATATATTTACGTATTCAACGATAATTCATTCACTTTTTTTATCTTGTGAAATACTGAGGGACAGACATCCGAACTGTTACAGACAGCTGCTAAAAGAGGTTGACAGGCTAAACACGACTCCCGCTGTTTGGCGATGTAATAGCGGAGCTCTGGCGCGCGAAGCGCGCCTGCGGAGCACCATGGGTAAGTAAATCTACCCATCCCAGAAGATTTGGTAATCACGTGACCGTACACCGCCCGCCCGCCCGCTGCCCGTCCGTCCGCTCCACAGGCATACCAATGTTTACTCTCACACTTTCTAGCTACTTTTGGAGCCCAGGAGAAAGCTGATTGCACATCAATGTTGTCATCAATGGACAGCTGTCAAAACAGGGTATCCGCTGATCAGTATGACCTTACCGTATCGCGGGCTCAGGTGTCGACCCATCAAGGTCGAGTATTTTTTGAAGTTATCCGCTGACAATTTACTCGTTTCACAAAGGTTTGGGTTCTCTGTCTTTTAATACCTCTCTGCTTGCTAATAACATCTTAGAGTGAGGGTGGATAATGTGTCTTTCGTATGAATGGCTTCTCTGGCAGGCAGCTCTGTTTCTAAATTTCCTGTCTAAACATTTAGGCGTAAATGTTAAGTGAAAGATAACCAGCTGCAAAGGAATCATCTTTTCAACGGTATAAGATATGGCAAATTTTCTGAAGGTAGTCACTCCCTCCAAAAAAAGAAAAAAATGAACTTATAGAAATTAATAGCTTGGGTTAACATTTGACATCAGTTGTTTTCTTTGGTCAATGGTGTTTTTGACAAAACTTTTGAAACTTTTAGTTGGATCATCTTGATGAATAGTACTTTGGAGCATGACATGCAGTTTCCTACTTCAAGGTTGAGTTTTCAAAACAAGCTAACATAATTATGTTGGTTAACAAATGTTGAGACATGCTTTAATTTAAACTTTATAAACTCACTGCAATTACCTATATAGTAAAAACCTGTGACTAAGAACCTGGTTTTTAGGAACTTGTATGGCTAACATTTGTCAGCTAGCTAGGCCCCTCTATGCAAGAAGCTGTTGAGGCTAAAATTTGAAACAGATTTTTATTTTCTAAAATCTATAAAAACATTCTGTACACTTGGGCAATTAAGATAAGTCAACTTTCAGGATCCTCTTTGGAGGACTCATCACTCCAACTACAATTTAATGGTGTGATGATGTTATATTATTAAGGAATATGCTGAACACCACTAAATACTCTTAGCTACAATGTATTTTTCTAGGAAACTATTTAAAAGATTAACCTACATAGCCTAAATTTGTGCTAATTTCCATTAAGGGGGGAAACTGCAGGTTCTTTGTCAGGGGTTTTTATTGCATTAATTATTATTTTAACCCTAAATTTATCACCAAGTCCTGATAAATGCATGGGTTTACTACAATATATATTTGAAGAGGTTGTTGCTGAGTGAAGAATTAAGTTCATACAATGTATATGAAGTGTATTTTCTTTTTTTACTGTTGAATCAATAAAAAAGGCAGTAAAATATTGACATATACTTATTTATTTACTGTTTTCAGAGAAGATGAACTTGATCCTGAATCAAACAAAGTGTAGTTAACTTAGCAAAGTGTTCTGATTATACATGTGTAAGAAAGTATGAATTTCAAGTACCTGTGAGAGAGTGAGATAAAATCAATAAAAATCTTAAAAATCGTATTCATGGAAAGATCTGGGCTTTTTACTTCTTTGTAGCGGTTCAGCATGTACACTAATTACCTGAGCAACCAAAACAAAGTCATGAATACTCCAACCAACATGTTCTCTGCTTCTACATATAGGGTGACGTGTTATTTTAATTTATTCGCCCTCAAGTAAAGTAAGTAGGTAAGTAGCTTTATTAAAGTGTAAGTCGTTCTAGCTTGACACACTAAAGAATAAAAAGGAAAGAAAACTAACTGCAAAACTATGGACCGGGTTGGATTATTGAGTAATAAGCCAATGCAATACTTTGAAGCGTTCAATAGTGTAATATGCATTCATGATCAAGTGCGCCCCTTGGGAACGTTCAAGTCTTGCCTGTACGTTTTGCTAGGGTAGCATTTTCCTCGGTTATTGAGTAATAAAATTGCTAAATACGAAGAGAATGACCTCAAGGCATCTAGTGTTTTTGTGCAGAATTAAGCCGTTAAAAAACGGAAACATATTATAGCCTGAAAAGTAAGTGCGTTCAAAGTCGCATCCGGTAAACCAAAACGCAAACATTGCAGTGAACGAATCTCACAGGAACAGGAGGAAAAGGAGAATACTAAAAAGTCCAGGCCATCCAAACAAATGCCGTATTGGAGGGCTCCAATTTTTCTTCTTTAATTTCTCCTGGAATAAACACACGAGGGACGACTTTGCCGCCATGTTGAATTTACTCTATGTCACGTGGACTGGTATCAACCAATCAGACATTTTTCGCCAGTGAATCTTGAAAGTTGTTTACTTTGACAGCTGAAGCTGACAGAGTTTTGAGTCAACTTGTGATGTTTTTAACTGTCTTTTTCCACTGGATGTAAAAAAATGAAATACAGCTGCTATCAGGGGTGTTCTCTTATACACCGTATTCACAAATGGCGGACACGCGGGAAAAAACTGGTGCCTAGTCATGAAAGCGAGGCGTTGGAGGGTAAACAAAAACTGCAAATGAAGACTTTCAGTGAACTTGCAGAGTGTTTAGCACGGATTCCACCTAAAATAACTTTGTACGGACTTCTTTTAAAATACAATTACGTGGGATGTCTTCTGCTTTTAATGTTTAGTATTGATTTGCTGTTTGCAATCAAAAGGGACGCGTATATCTTCAAGGAAACAAGATGATTTTGTAGGTTTCCGAAGCATCAGAAGCTAGACAAGTGGGCGATGGCTGGAGAAAAGCGGCAAACATGTTGGCCCAAACTTCACATTGAAACCGAGTTCGAAAGCCAGCTCACTGCAATTCGGTAGAACAGAAATATAAACAATGCAAATCTTGGGGGCAAGAAAAAAAGAAATAAGCAATGGATATATGGCCTACTTGTTAACGCAAGAGACGTGTGCCATTGAACAAAACAGTTCAAATCGAGATGGAAAAAAGGAAGACAGGAAAGAAGCGGTGACTTAGGTTTCGATGAAGTTATGTTTGGTGTTTATTTGCCAGGACGCTATTCTCTGCTCTTTATCGATGAAGGACATCAATTAGAACTATCTTTTTGGTATAAATGCAGGAGCGATCGAGTGGAGTACGCTCAAAATTTCGGCTTGTCACTCGGCAGACTCGGTAAGCCGGCCACATTTCATTTCAGCGAGTAATTTTCCTATTTCTTATCTTTGGCTGTTATGAGTTTTAACTTCATGTTCCATAATGTTTTAAAAGTGAAGAATACATAAATAAGTAAAATGATGGTCTTCTTAAACGGATCCAGACTCGCATTTAATGATTCGAAACAGAAGCTTGCCGTGTTCAGTCCTGACACAAACATTGCCTTAAAAGTTTAACCTACTAAAATGTGAGCTTTATACCACTTTTTTACAAAGAGCTCTCTGAGGTAATGCCGTAAAGGAGACCAGGCAAATAGCAAGCCATAAGATTCACACACTAGAGCTTCTAGTTTTGATAAAATTATTTTATTTCGCAATGCAAAGAAATCAAAAGATTTTAGATTTGCACTGAATTTGCTAAGCTCTGCCAACGTACCTCTAACAATTCACTCCAAAGCGACGGAATTGATATCATCCAAAGGAAGTTGTAAATACAGACATACATAGATATGTGTAAAATGACACTGACATGAATGAATGAGTCTCGTGAATGAATCTTTCAACCGCTCTCGACTTGACCAGTTTTGAGTAATGGCGGAGGTCTCTTCTGTTGACAAGTAGGCCATCTATCCGTCGCTTTTTTCTTTTTTTCTTGCCACCAATATCTGTTTTTACTTCTGTTTTACAGAATTGCAGTGAGCTGGCTTTCGCTTTCGGTTTCAGCGTGAAGTTTGGGCCAACATGTTTGCCGCTTTTCTCCAGCCATCACCCACTTGTCGAGCTTCTGAGGCTTCGGCAACTTACAAAATCATCCTGTTTCCTTGAAGATATACGCGTCCCTTGTGATTGCAAACAGCAAATCAGTACTAAACATTAAAAGCAGAAGACGTTCCACGTCATTGCATTTAAAAAGACTTCCATACAAAGTTATTTTAGGTGGAATCCGTGCTAAACACTCTGCAAGTTCACTGAAAGTCTTCATTTGCAATTTTTGTTTACCCTCCAACGCCTCGCTTTCATGACTAGGCCCCAGTTTTTTCCCGCGTGTCCGCCATTTGTGAATACGGTGTATTCATGGCTGGTTTGTTTATTGGGTTTTTGGTTGAGAAATGCGTCGCTTGTCAAAGCCGATAATCCGATTTCGGATGGCATCGTTTTTGTTTTTCACCTTGCTGGATGCGTACGAGAATTATAAAGGCTCAAGCGATCCTTGCCTTACTTGATAGCTTTCAGGAGCTGCATCTCGAAATATGGTAAGCCTGACTAATTATTGTATTTATATCTAATTTCATGAAGTCCAGCGGCGCAGTTTATGAAGCTAGTTTATGCACGTTTGTATTAAGATTTGACTGAGACACTGATCTGACCTAGTATGAGGTTTGATATAAGGTTAAGCTTACAAAACTTTAAAAAGCCTTTAGTCGATATTAATTCACCGTAAATAGAAAGAAAAAACTTTCCGAAGCCTGATATTTAGTAATAATTTTGGCTGTAGAAAGAAAGCTTTGAGCGATTTTCCTGTCGCGAGTTCATCTTTGAAAAAAGAAAACACCGGGAAACCGGCGGCTTTAAACATAAACTTAATCTTTAAGCTTACTAGTAAAGACTTGAGGATTCTTAGAGACACTTAAATACTCATTTGTTTTCGTGAATGAAAATTGTTGTCTCTGTAAATGTTCTACCGAATTATATATCTTTATTGATTGTTGGTAGTCTCAAAAGTGTAATTTTCACCGCTTTGCCATTTGTTTTCAGGCGTTCATAAACATCGCTTGCAGGAGTACTCAAAATGCCGAGCGTATCAAACGCTTTTTAAGATTACACATCGTTATAAAACTATTAATAAAAAATAGACTCAATAAATTCTTTATCTCGTTGAAGCGTAACTCTTTTAAAATCTCTTCGCAAATTTGGCGCTTGTCAAAAGTTAGAACCGGCTGGCCTTATAGGTGATTTGGACATTTTTTGAACGGTTTCGCTAATTAAAAGTCCACGCGTGCTTCGATGGTCCTGAGTATTGAATGAATGTAATTTGTCTTGAAAAATTGTGAAATACTGCATTTTGTACGAGGTACGGTCTGCATGATAAAAACAGCGCCTCATAGTACTCTTTCTCCTCAGATGTGGTGTATAAAAAAAAATAAAAGAATGGTTTGCACGCACCCAGATTTTTGGCAAGAATTTGTAAACTTGTCGAACGCAAAAAATTCGGCCTGATTTGTTTTCCAAGAATTTGTTTTCCACGCCTTATCTACTGTGATCAAGAGCCATTATTGCTCTTAAATGTGACCGAAGACTATTTTTGGGTGTACATATAAGGCTATATCAACTCAATACAAGATTTGTTTCGCTCCAAAATCACTTAGCTTTTCCCTCAAAAGTCACATGAATGTGCCCTTAAGTTAACTGATTTGTGGAATACAAAATTATTGTTTCATGAAAGTTATAAATTTATCAATGGGAGCTTCGCTTTTAGCTGTGGCTAAATCTATATATTAGTACTTTGACCTTCAAAGTTTAGCTCTAACAAGTATGTTCTTTAGAGACTTCCCTCTTGTTTAGGAGATGAGAGGTGGTTCTCTGTATATTGTACTCAGCAATGGGTGATTTTCAATTAAATGTCACTGGTCCATTAATTAGAACCTTTTTAAGACAGGGCATTGATGGGTTGTACTGTGTAACAAAAGGCGTTAGTTTGTTCCTTTCTCCTTGCAGTTTTTGCGGCAGTGCAAGTGAATTTAACTTCTGCGAGGACGTTAATTACCAGATTATCTGGTTATCCTCGAACACGCAAGTGTGACTTGAACTTGTTGATGCTTTCTTCAAATAGTTTTTAAATCCTTTTTTCACGACCGGAGCGTGGTAGGAAGTGAAATGCATGTATTGAAATGTCTCTGTCGGTTTAAAATGTGTACGGATGTCAAGGATAGCGTCTTCGTAAAATCTCTCGCCCTTAAAGATAGTGGTGTCTAGGAAAGGTATTTCCTTCGCTGAAATTTCAGCCGTAAATTTTATCTTAGGATGATGTGTGTTTGCTTCTTAAACAAATTGATTTATCGTCTCTCTTCCTTTTTCCCACAGGGAGAAAACATCGTCAATGCATCTTTTCCACTCGAGGGGTTTGGTCTTGCTTTTACTGATAAATTCTGTTTCAATTCTGGACATAAAAATGTTCGCAAAGGCCACTGCCACGAAATAACCTGCTTTTCAGAGAACGTTTAGAGCGTAAACAGTAACAAGTCCTGTAGGAAAAAGTACCTTTGAATAATCTAACAATCACTTCTCCCCTTTAGATATATTAGTGTACTGATGAGCAATAGCAAGAAAAACAACTCATGTTTTTGCATACCTGGATTACAAGAGAATCCTGACATTTTAAGCTCACGGCTACCTTGAGACTGAGAGTCTGTTTCCGTGGATATTTTAGTTTGATATCCTGATGCAGCATCAGCTTTCATTTCACAGTCACTACTAAGGAACGTTTCTGAAACAAGCTGCTTGCCGTCGTAAGAGTTTGTTCTTTGGTTGTTGTAAATTTCTATAGAAGGCTCTGAAAAAAAAAAGCTTTAGTTACAATAATTGTCTCTTTGAAACTTAAGGTTCAGTCAATTTCACGTGTGACCATTCCTCCCCGGGGCGGACATTTGTTGGGCATATATCAGGTTGTATATTCCTGGGATAGAACTCAGCGGCCGGCCTTTTATTTCTCTCCCCGTCCCTATTTTTTCTACCTCTCGTTCGCCTCCTGCGCTTCTCTCACTTGGTTAAGAATAGACATAAATGATTTCTAGGCATGATGTCTACGAAGATACCTTCGTGGTCCTCAGTCATGCCTTCCATCCTCTGAGAAACGTTGCACTTTGTTTCCAAGGAGCTCCGGGCCTTTAGAGAATCTTCTGTTGCGACAAAATGGAGAAAACAAGCTGCGGGAATTAAGTGTATATAACTATAATCAAATATGTGAAGTGCTGTAAATAAGTACTATGACCGTCTATGACAGTCTCAAAATAGCCTCCACAGACCATTCCGCTGAAAACAATGTACCTGAAGAAATAGAAACGTTTTGCTGTTAACAAAGCATAACGTTCAGATAGGTATTCGCGAATATTTTTATCAAGACTTAAGGGCAATACTTGCAAGCGATCCCATTTTTGTTTCTTTTCACCTTTTAGTCGAGCTTGCTTCAGCTGCTAGACTCTAAAACTGCAGGCGTTTCTTTTTTTGTTGTTCATCTGTTCTCGCAAATGGTGAATCATGGTCCCAGGCGTTGGTCAGAAGTGAGCCCCAAACGCTAGGAGCATCTAGTCTCTTCATCAACTGGACATAGCTCTTCTGAGAATCCAGAAGGTGAAGCATATATTTTTGCAACAGGCTGCTTTTCAGTGAAAGAAACATCCTTTCAGGATATCAACTATCCATAGCTAATCCATGTCGAAGGGCGACGAAGTCGGAAGCGGCCGGCCAGACGGTCATTTTAGTTAAAAACGAAATAATTGAGTATTTTTTTTATTTTTCGAGAGTCCGAAAAATCCCTTTTCCTAATCTTTTGAAAGTATTCTATCTTCATTTAGAATAATCAAGCAATCAGGAAAACAAGAATGGCTTCGCAGATGAGCGGTTGTGGTTTCTTGAGCATAGAGTAGAGTCGACGCTGTTTCGACACTTAGAAAACCCGTTTTCAGACCAGACCAGACCAGACCAAATCCATACCCGTTTTCAGACCTGATCTTTAGGCAGAAATTATGTCATCATCTCTTTAATTAGTGCGCAAACAAAAGAAATTCTTCAAATCCATTTCGAATTCGCGTATTTCTCTTTCTTTCTTACTGATTTTCAGAGAACGTATAGCACTTAAAGAACCCAGATCTAACACAGAAATAGTAGTCAAAAAGGCAGACAAGGGCACCACAACGGTCATAATGAACAAAAATGATAACATACTAGAAGGCCAAGTTCAGCTTGATGACAAGCAAAACTACACGGTCCTCGAAGCATAAAACTTATTAAGCCAAAATACATGTTCCCAAAAAAAAGGTAGTCTACTGAGATTGCCCCACTCACCTGAGTTTTCTATGAAAGCTTTCTTACAAATCAAGTAGTTTTCTTCTTCTATAGTTGTCTTCAACCTGACATTGTCCATCCCGAGCTTTCTCTTGATTTCATCAGTCACCAGGAACCTTTCAACGATGTCATTAAGGTAACCAGAACAGTAATCATTCCACAGACTTTCAAGACTCTCTAGACTGGGGCACTGTACTGTTATTATCAAAGATCCTGGTTGCACAAACAGTACGACCACTTCAAAAGCCTTTTCTATAAACTCAGCAAGGCGGGCTACTCTACTAACAAATGGCAACGACGAAAGATCTTGGTGTCTTTGGTACCTATAAGCCAACTGCTCTAATTCCTCTTTTAATATTCTTTGTTGTGCAACAGTTAAACCTTGGGTATTCGCAGAAATCTGAACTTTGATCAAGGCAGTAATAACAACAGAGTCTGAAAATCAATAAGAGGAAAGTTACACGTTTTTAAAACTATAGCAAAACATTCATTATGCACAATAACTTAACACTTATTTATTTACCTACTTACACAAATTTACGTTTTAATATAATTTTTACTGTTATGTGACAGGTTCCTTCCTCAGGGAGGATGCACCTTCATGACTAGCTATCTTGGAGGACATATGCTTCTTTAAAAAAAGATTCCGCTCTCCTCACTCGAAGTACCTGAATTTAAAAGACGGCTCTCGTCAAGGTACTCATCATTATTGAATGTCTACTCAGGCGCCTCACCCATAGCCAAAGAGGTTTAAAAACCTCATTCACAAAGACCCCCAACAAGGCAACTTGGTTAGGACGTTATCACAGATTCACAATATTAGCTGCATACTTGAATGTCAATAGAATGTTAACGTTTATAGCAATTCGATGAAAGATACAATTTGGAAAATTACAAAACCTGTTCGCACATATTGTTGAAAATATTTGTCACTAAGTTTTTTTAAACTGGATAATGGAGACAGGACTTAAACCACATTAGAAGATCGCTCTTTTGCTGTTGCTGCTCCCAAACTTTGGCATTTGTTTTTTTTCGCGATATGGATGAGCCCCTCAGTTGTCATTTTTAAGAAGGCACTCAAGACATTTCATTCCAGAAAGCTCTTACAATGTATGTAATAAGATGCAATTTCATTACTCGTTTTTAGTAGGTTTTATTCAGTTTCAGTTAAAGTAACCAAAGTAATTTTTTTAATTTTAGTGTTTGATATATTTTAATTTTTTGCATATTTATAAATTTATTTATTTAGTATTTATTCAAAATCTTTTTTTATAACCGCTGAAGAAAATGGCGACTATCAAGCGACTACTGATCGATCGGCACTATAAGTTTTGCTATCATCCGAGATAATACACTTCTATATTACAAGCGTAAACGGTAACAAGTCCTGTAGGAAAAAGTACCTTTGAATAATCTGACAATCACTTCTCCCCTTTGGATATAGTAGTGTACTGATGAGCAATAGCAAGAGAAACAACTCATGCTTTTGCATACCTGGATTACAAGAGAATCCTGACATTTTAAGCTCACGGCTACCTTGAGACTGAGAGTCTGTTTCCGTGGATATTTTAGTTTGATATCCTGATGCAGCATCAGCTTTCATTTCACAGTCACTACTAAGGGACGTTTCTGAAACAAACTGCTTGCCGTCGTAAGAGTTTGTTCTTTGATTGTTGTAAATTTCTATAGAAGGCTCTGAAAAAAAAAGCTTTAGTTACAATAATTATCTCTTTGAAACTTAAGGTTCAGTCAATTTCAAGTGTGACCATTCCTCCCCGGGGCGGACATTTGTTGGGAATATATCAGGTTGTATATTCCTGGGATAGAAGCTCAGCGGCCGGCCTTTTATTTCTCTCCCCGTCCCTATTTCTTCTACCTCTCGTTCGCCTCCTGGGCTTCTCTCACTTGGTTAAGAACAGACATAAATGATTTCTAGGCATGATGTCTACGAAGATACCTTCGTGGTCCTCAGTCATGCCTTCCATCCTCTGAGAAACGTTGCACTTTGTTTCCAAGGAGCTCCGGGCCTTTAGAGAATCTTCTGTTGCAACAAAATGGAGAAAACAAGCTATTGCGGGGATTATGTGTATATAACTATAATCAAATATGTGAAGTGCTGTAAATAAGTACTATGACCGTCTATGACAGTCTCAAAATAGCCTCCACAGACCATTCCGCTGAAAACAATGTACCTGAAGAAATAGAAACGTTTTGCTGTTAACAAAGCATAACGTTCAGATAGGTATTCGCGTATATTTTTATCAAGACTTAAGGGCAATACTTGCAAGCGATCCCATTTTTGTTTCTTTTCACTTTTTAGTCGAGCTTGCTTCGGCTGCGAGACTATAAAAATGCAGGCGTTTCTTTTTTAGTTGTTCATCTGTTCTCGCCAAATGGTGAATCATGGTCCCAGGCGTTGGTCAGAAGTGAGCCCCGAAACGCTAGGAGTATCTAGTCTCTTCATCAACTGGACATAGCTCTTCTGAGAATCCAGAGGGTGAAGCATGTATTTTTGCAACAGGCTGCTTTTCAGTGACAGAAACATCCTTTCAGTATATCAGAAGCATCTGGTTTGAGAACAAGCCTTTAATTATAAGCTTCTTACAAAATAATGTTTATATGTTTTTGGAACCCATTCACATCTCCGCCACCCACAACCGCCGGTGCGGAACCACGCCCCATGCATGTAACACTAAAAATAAATTTGACGGTCACAGACAACTGTGACCCTTAAATGTGGTGGAGACCCTTAATCTACGCATTACAGATCTTTTCATGCATTTAAATTCACTTTGACAACCTCCAATACAATTTTAAAAGGTGTGTACAAAACATTTAAGCTTCATTATTATAAAGAAAAAGCAGGCATCAAAATTTCAAGTAGTCCATTTCATTTTTGCATGTTTGTCACTGCCCAACACAAAACTGACTGTCTTTGTATGTTGTCCTTCAGTAGCAGTTTAAAAATAACAACACTGAAATTCAAGTGTGGCTCTACACGTAAAAGAGTTGAAGGTGATTTCTTAGGAAAGTAACTTATTAGGATTGTAAAGAAGTATATTATTGTCTTGGCCATATTTATCCAGCAATAAATTTAGTGGGAAAAATATTCTGGGAAAATTCGTACATGTACTAAGTTTGCAAAGAGAACTTATGGTACTCGAAAATGTGGTCCAAGAACTACATGTATTCAGTGCTTTTGAAAGCCTATCGCTGCAACCTTACATTTGCGTACACTGTGCCACGAAAACTACATTAGTGTAATGTCTGGCACAACATAATCAATTAAGTACATCAGCTTAACAATTAACTCTTACCATGACTCATTTTCCACATTCTGTTCACGAGGGCTTCACATTGCTCCTTCCAACTGTACATCTCCTCATAAGATGCTCTCAGCGATTTTATCTCTTGAAGCCTCAATCCATGCCTGATACGAACAGCCTCAATTGCTTTTGCCCATTCTGCAGGATCATCCGAATTCACGATGCATGTATTACCATGAAGAACTTGCTCTAATGCTTTGGCAAATCCCGATTTACTACCAACAAGAACTGGTAAACCTGCAGACAAGGCTTCGAGTGCGACAAGACCAAATCCCTCTGATTTTGATGGCATGATGGCAAGGTCAGCTTCACACAACAAATCTTTCAGTTTCTCTCTACTTCGTAAAAATTTTCTAACAGTCAACTGTGCTTCTGCAATTTCACGTTGAAGAAGTTTTTCTCTAACTTTTTCTTGCTTTCCTTCAGGTGCTCCGACAAAAATTAGATGGTAAGGTTTGTTTTTTAACCGCCGATCAGTGAATGCTTGAGCAGCAATGTTGTATCCCTTGAGTTCAAAGTCCTCATCATCCCCACGACCAAATAGCAGTACTTTAAACTCAGCATGCTCATTACGGGTTTGTATTAAATCCCCAAACTCCCTTTGAAAAAGGCCTGGGGTAATGGACAAAACGTCTTGACCTGTCTTATACCGCTGTAAATATGAAGTGTAGGCTTCTTTCAGTCTGGGTCCCACAGGGACAACAAGATCAGCAAGTTTGCAAAGTTCAACTTCTGATTCGTGTTTTGTTTCACCTTTTGAAATGGGGTCACTGTAGCATTTGTATTTGCTAAGGTCCTCTGGAGCAGTGTGCACCACTTGAACCCACTTACAATTTGGAAATCGAGCAGAGTCTCTGATGAATTGTACCTGTCGACCAAGCTTTACACCATGGCCAACAACGATGTCCGTAACATGATCTTTGGGTGGTGAGTTTAGCCAATCAAGACGATCAAATGCTGCACGTTCTTTCGCCTCAACAATGGTGATTCCATAGCCATCTGCTTCTCTTATTTCGTCAGTGTTGCAAGCTCCCTCCGGGACTAGTAAAAAAACCTTCACTGCTGAATGATTTGAAAAGTGAATAGCGAGCTCCCTGTTTATAGTTGACAACCCACCAGCAGATGAACCCCACTCACCACCAAGAAGAGTAACATGTAACACTGGATCACTGCTCTCAGAATAGCAAGCCTACAAAAACAATAACATCAACAGTGAATAGTTAAGAGATACAAGACCAAAAGACATAGCAGGTTTAGTAACTGTCAACTGTTAGTACATACATAATTTGTAAACTAAGTTGATAGGGGTAGAATAGGCAAATTTTCTAAGCACTCCAATTCCCCAACATAGTAGCACATATTACAGTGTCTTTAGAAACAAACCCCTTCCACCCGGCAGATAGGAATTAATCAGGCATGTGAACAATTATTAATCAAACAAACAAATGCCCCAAATGTAATGTCCAGTCCACTCCTTATTTTCACCGCTCCCATTCACCAAAAGGGCATGATCACACCATTGCATGTGGTTTTCTGTTTTCTAGATGAAAGCAGTTTTTACACAGCATCTGGCGACTTTTGATGTTTCTTTTTGGGACACATCACCAAATAATCATAAAGTTCTCTTCAAAGGCCATGAAATGAGACTGTATATAGTGTAATAGGAATAAAATATAGCTTTTTGTAAAAAGAATTAAGAAAAAAGAATGAACCTTTGGATTGTCCAGACTGCATTCTGCTTTCATAGTCTCAGGTTGACTGGATGAAGCAGCCATGGCTGATGAAGGGAAAAATAAGAAATTAAAATGACTATCCTAGTAGTGCCAATTAGTCCTAATACTTGATGTAGGTGTGACTTTAATCACAATGTCAACCAATTTTTTTTAATTCTGAACATTCGATGTTTAGCAGAATCTGGTTATCATTGCTTTCACAGTACAATCACACTGCAGGCCACACATTATCAGAAAACATGTGGCTCTCTGCTGTCAGTGCTGTAATTAAGTAGAGGTCGTTTTATCTTTTAATAATAAATTATAACTGTATAAGAGCGTTATCGAAATATTTTGGGATGAAGTTTTTATTGTTAAAAATACGGTAAAAAAGGAAAATCTTGATGTTTATAGTCATTATCTGAAGAAAATAAAGCACTTTTGACATGTAATTTCACCTCATAGTAGTTTCAATCTTTTTAAAAACGTGTGTGAAAGATCATGGAGATAGCTCTCGCCAATTGCTATAAAGAAGTATGATGGCACTCTTTTTAAAGGCTTTGTAAACATTTCGGTCTGCTTTTTTGAAAACAAATTAGTGGATAATTTTTAAACCGCTCGATAGATTGTTTTAAAAAAATTAAGATTCTTTTCGTAATTCAAACAGAGAATTAGTCTGCAGCCACTTCTTCAATTTCAGACCTATTGCTGATGCTATCTGCCATACACTCTTCTAGGAGCGGAGGTGATTCTAGAAAGTTATGCGGAAGCTTATTCTAATCAATTCACAACTGGAAATAGCCCATTCCAGCTAGTGCAGTGCAGTACAGTGACCAACAATAAAAAAAAGTCAGCATATGATACCCTTCCCTTATAACCAGAAACTCATCACGTGCTAGGCAACCACTGACTTCAGGATAAAATAGAAAATATTTATCTCTTCAAAATATTAATAACAAAAAAAACATGGAAAAGTCTTTAAAAACTGGCTTTGCCCAAATCTTCTCTTACTGCCCAAAAGCTCTGAGTTGCTCAAACTGCCCCCCGGCCCGTATGCCTACGTTTCAAAGCAGACCAAGTCACACGGAAGCAATTCAATTCAATTCAATTCAATTTTTATCCACACTTCAATAAAATATTTACATTACATATAGTAAGTTAGGAATACACTAATAAAGGAGAAGAAGAAGGAAAAAAGAAAATTAATGGCCTAGATAGAAGTGTACGGTCGTCAGAGGAGCTTAGCTTTCGAGCTAACCATATCTTAGTAGGAATCTCTTCCCAAGTTTTGGTTATGGCAATTAAACTTAAATGTGTGTTTGCCGTAATTTGACTTACACATGGTACATGAAAGTTTAGATTTTAAGCATATCTGGTATTGTGTGAGTGAAAATCAGACACCTTTACGAGGTAGTTTTGAAACACTTCAGGGATATTAGCTTCATTTTGTGAGATTTTGTGAGCTAGCAAAGAGATTTGAAGTTTAAAAATGCTTATATCTATGTTAAGTGTATCTAGAAGTTTGAGGTAGGGTGCACTACTTGTTCTGTTATGGCTAAAAAATATGAAGGGTATACATTTATTACTTCGGCGGAGCGCGACGTAAAGGATTCGCGACGCTCAGGTATGTATCAAAGTTGACTTTTTTTGACAACATTGGGCACGCAAAGTCTGAAGGTTTTCGGTTTTATTCGGATATTTGACGAAGTGAGAGCCGGATTAGTACGAGATATCTCGAGATCACGTCGATTTCTTTGATTTATTCTTTAACTTTTTCGAGGAAGAAAGAATTAATATTGTGGCTTTCCCGGGGTTTGAACCGACTCACCTGTGTGACCCGTCAGATCAGAGGAGACTCCTAAGTTGAGGGATTAGCCGATTGCGCTACTGCGACCCAAGATAGTTCGGGATATGAAAAATAGTTATGAAATGATGCACTAATTTCGGGACAAGATTGGGCGTGCAAGTTCGTGACTTTTCGGCTTGTTTCGGCTATTTCACGAAATGAGACCGGACTACTTCGTGATATCTTGAGATCACTTCGAGTTTTCGTCTTTAATTTACTCAAGGAATAAATAGAGGATATTACGTGGCCGCAAAGAGACACGAAATTTCTCTTCGAGTGTTGAAAAACATTTCACGAGTGAGCCTTCCTTTCGAACTGTTTTATGATGAATTTAAAGTTACAAAATGCTGCGCAAAGACATTTTGTCTTTGTTGAGTGTTACGTAGTAAGATTGCTTTCATGCGTTGCGTGACTTTCTCGAACGTTCTCTACGTTTTTGGATTATTCATGAATAATTAATTAGGGCATGTTTACATTTCAGCATGAGTGAGCGGATTTGCATCAGTTACTGAAATCATAAAATATGTCGAAAAGCTTCTACTATTCGCCTGTTTAGTATTTTCTAGAACCTTATGTCAAACGGTTTACAAGTTCCAAGCGAGTTCTTTTGACGAACTAAGTGTTTTTCCCACGAGCTGGACTGCTGTGTTTAGTCAAGTGTGACGAAGGTCGATTTTCAAGTTCTGTGTTTACAAGTTGGCGGAAGCCGCAAGATATCTGAAGGTCAAGTGAGAGTTTGTTATTATTGGTAGAGGCTGTTTAGTTTTACTTAAGTTCACGTCAAGTTTGTGTTGGCGGATGCTGTGTTTTAAAGCTGTGTAAAGGCTATGTTCCTTTGGTATTAAACTTCCTTATGTTAATCCGACATCCCAACGTGCTGAAAGTCTGAATAATTACCCTCAAAACATTCGAACTCGTAGCATTGAGTTTTAGCCAATTCCATGCTCAACGTAATTGACTCCTTACCCATGCCTTACATATCTTTAATCAGTACATGAGACTGCTATGCTGTTTTTGAAGCCTGATGTGACTAAGAAAAATAGAGAATTCTTTTTTCACTGTTTGTTTTGTTAGACTTGTTATTCACCGCCAGTAGCCTCATATTTGACCTAGGTCTAAACGTTTTGACCCAAGTCAAATTTTGAAGGATTTGTATTGAGAGCATAACTGGGCTAATATCTCAGAGACAATTTGTCCCGAAATTCTAGTTTTTGGCAAGTAGGCCTCTTGGACGTTGCTCTTTTCAGAATATCCTGACAAATGCCATAATTTCATAAATTAACACCTTACTCTTACCATATTTCATTTCTTACTATTCCTGCGCATTTACAATTAATCAGTTCCACAACCACGACGCCGGAGTGTACGCTCCGTAGCGTCTTGTTTTGTTTTGTTTGAACTTGATCTACTTGGTTATGTGTTTCCCCAATTCATAATTCCATAATGAAGGTAGGGGTAGATAAGTGAGTAACATATTTGTTTGAGGGTGTTTAAAGTTAAGAAATGGCGTAACCTGAAAAGGATTCCCAAGTTTTTGGATATTTTGCTGTTTATGTGCTGAATGTGGGTAGCCCAATTTAGATTTTTGTCAATGTAGATACCTAGGTATTTGATGTAGTTTTTTTCTTCAATATTGCATAAATTAAGCTTAAGTTTATTTGCTACCCTTTTTGGGGGGATGGAGGAGATTGTCATATAGTGGGTTTTCTTAAAGTTTACAGAAAGTTTATTAGGTGAGCAGTAGCTAAGAAGATCGTTGAATTCCTCATTTATAGTTTTTTCAAGGTCCTGTAGAGAATTGGAAGAGTAGAATAGAGTAGTGTCATCAGCAAATGTTCTAATATTTGCCTTTTCTAAACAATTGGGTATGTCATTGATATATATGAAAAACAGAAGTGGGCCAAGGGTAGAACCTTGTGGTACACATTGGATAGAAAGTGGGTTTGATTTAACATTTTCAACATAAACATACTGTGTTCTGCTTTCAAGATAGCTTTTAAACCACTGGAGAGGGACACCACGGATCCCGTATCTGTATAATTTCTGTAGTAGGATCTGATGGTTGACAGTATCAAAGGCTTTAGATAGGTCAAAAAAATACTGCATATAGCTTCATTGCTGTCAATTTTCATTTTAAGATTGTCAGTGAGTTCAAGAATTGCTTGCTCAGTGGAATAACTTTTCCTGAAGCCAAATTGGTGTTTACATATCAAACTCATTGCGACATTTGCACTATGTGACATCGGGTGGCCTCAACTTCCGTTAAAATAGAGCTGAAAACACGCTATTTTCTACATTTTTATATTTTTTCCGTCGGTTTGGATGTAAATTTACAAAAGCGTGACCGGTCTTGAAAGCAGCGGGTCGAGAAAAACTGGACTGGCTGGACAGTGCATGCTCGGAATAATAAATGCACTGCCAAATTCAAAGAGTTGAATTAATTTGCCGCGTTTTGATATGTAATTTGTTGGGATTTGTGCAGATTTCGGTGGGGCAAAATGACTTCGAAAGTTCATCTTGCTCTCTTTCTTCTCTTCGCTTGTACCGTGACGGTTTCGGCAGTTGAAGATAATTTTCAGGGCGAAAATGGTGAGAAATTCAGCCAGCAGTATTTTAATAGGAGCTTAATTATATTTTCAAACAGTTCGATTTCTAAATTTTCTGATATTGAATAATTCCGCGTTTCTTCTATTCATTCCCGCAGCTTTTTAATTTATACCATTTCAGTCTCCACAGTTAATTCTATGCGCACCTCGCATTCATCTTTTCTGCCGGACCACAATTTTCTCTTGATGCAACGATACAATCGCCCATGAAAAATGTTCCCTCTATCCTCCAGCGGACATTCCGCGGGGAAAAACATTTTTTTCAAGCGAACAAAGGGAAAGTAATTCCTTTCATTATCGTAATCACGCCACTCATCGTATTCGTGACTGAATCCCACGAAATGAATTTTTAGCTGTTTTCGCGTCGTATCCACCTCACTAATCTCAACATCATAAAAATCCCTGACAGTTTTGCGTTTTTCGTTCCACTTTCTCCATCTTTTTTTCGCGGAGCTGACAGAATTCTTCCACAAAACGCCGTGGAGGACATGAAATTCGCTTCCGTCGATCGCCCATGTTTATAGCACAATACCTTTGCGCACGCGCTGTAGCATACACGCCATGTGATGATCACTGAAGAGCAAATGTCCTCATTCGTGGGCAATGAGTTT